CTTGTTTTCTTTCTCTTGTTTTCTATAATAATAGTACAGTATTATTAAAATTTATATGCCGCCCGACTCCCAGCAACTCTGGGCAGTTACTATTTGCCTTTTGGTCTCTGCTTGTTTTGTAAAAAGTTTCTACATTTCTGTACATCCCCAAATTCCTAAACTGGCAAACTTTCCCATTTCTTTTTATCCCCGCCGCCCCCCCCCCCCCTTTATTAGAAAGCAGCGGTTTTAATAGTGCAGGCAAGCTGCTGAGAACACGTTAGAAAACCACAGTCCCCCACAAACGTTTTCACTTCTAGCATGCCCTTGCTGGACCCAGAGCCGCCCAACTGGTTGCACAACTGGATTATAACTGCAATCTGGATACACCCTGATCCAAATTAATCCAGACGCCAATGGGCCCAAACCAGATCAACTAATCCACCCATGTCCTGGACAGCCACCGTTCTTTCTGACGTGAAATGGCTGCCTAAAATTAGCTGGAGTTGTAAAATGCCCCCCGCCCCCCCCGAGCTATAAATACAGCCTGGTCACAAGCAGAGAGGCTGACATTTCACTAATGCAATTTTGTAGGTTATCTGCAATATAATGTTTCATCCAGCCTTGCTCCGCCAGCCCCTGAACAGCAGAATATGCTAATGCTGGCCTCTGAATTATTGTACGCTTCTGTGTTGGCTGAGGCTGATAGGAGTTGTGATCCCAAACCTGCTGTTGCATCGGACCCATCGCTTTGCGCCCCAGCACCGAAAGGAAGAAACATGCCATTTTTTTTTAAAGTGACCTGTCTTTACTCTCCAGATGAGGCCCACCGTTCAGTGCAGCGGACAAGCTGCTTTCCAGTGAAGACGGCAGGGGTGGGATTCCACCGCCCATCGTCCAAAGCCATCAGACTCATATTGATGGGAGGTGTAGTCCAACAGCCCTGGTTCCTTGGTGGCTATCTCCTTCCTAGGTCTTTGGATCCGGCCACAAATTCAGGCAGGCAGGCAGAGCGGGTAATCGTGCAGAGACGCAACGGGCAGGCTCAGTAGCCAGAAAGCTGCACTCCCTACAACATCCAGAGCCCGGATCTCAGAGCGCAGGCTAATTCAAAGTGAAATATCAGGCAGAGAAAATCTAACCGGCCCGCATCCGGGATTCCTCCGTTCTTTTCTTGTTCCAAACATCACAATGCACCCTTTGATTGCAAAGATATAATCAAACAAATTCAGGCTTGGCCGTGCAATCGAGGCCCCGCGATAAATGGAAAACCTGAAATTGACTCACTGGAATTTTCCAATAAACCGTTCCCAAAGTCGTGAGCGTTCCTCCAGGTTTGGGATCACAACTCCTATCAGCCTCAGCCAACACAGAATGGGGATGGTGGGAACGGGGGTCCAAATGTCTTTAAACCCCCCATACTCCTTCTTGAAAATACGTCAAGGAGCAAACATACACCCTGACTTCCACTCATTTAGTGGGATCCACAAAATCCAGAGTCACCCGAGAATCCCCAAACGGGGATAAAAAATCCTGGAATCGAAACCTAAAACCGATCCACACGCCGGGGAAGCCGAAATTCAGCTTTGAAGAAAACCGGCTGCGGACACGCCCGTTCACGTGCCCGCCCAAGACTCCTCCTCAGAAGCGTGCAAAGCCAAACATCTCTGGTGTGCCTGTGTTTGCACAACTACTCCAGACTTCGTTGCTACAACCTCGGCAGCCTGAGGGGCCCAAACCCACCCAATGTAACTAAAAATGCCTTATTAGCCATCGCACCCCCAGAAATGCCTTTTAGGGCACCTTCATACATTCCTTTCCCTGCCCAAATTATGGGATAGAAGCCCCCAGGGAGAGCAGGCTGAGTTAGCTCGCCAAACTGGCTTGGGATCAGACCAACCGGAAAGATCTGAGATGACGGTGATAATCATAATCATAATTATTATGATTATTTTCACCACTGTTTAGCAAACACAGAACTGCTACTTTGCATTTCCCTTTACTCCAGCTTGCTACAAAGAAACCCCCACGGGTATTTTCAAACAAAAATGGTCATTTGGGAGTGAAAGCGTCAGGCGAGGATCCCCCTGGGAGACTTGGAACCATCCGGCATCTCTCAGCTTGGCCTACCACGCAGGGGTGTTAGGAAGGTACAAGGAGGGGGGGAGAGAGGGGGCACCCCTTCTCTGTTTTTCCACCAAATAAGAGGACTCATTTTGCAAAAAGCCAACAGTGTGGCCTTTGAGGGCAAAAACTGCTTTTTCTAGGGTTCGTCAGAGGTTTTCTTTACTTTTTTTAATTCGGATTGCTGGTTTGGAGAAACAGGTTCGTCTCCCCAAGAATTTCGGTCCTGACCGAGCCTAGCTCACCGCCAGGAGCAGAGAGAGGCGGACTTTGGGAACTACAGCTCCATCATCCTTGCCTATGACCTGGCTGGCTGTGGCTTATGTGACCTGGGACAAAGATGCAGACTTTTGATGCTGAGTTGAGCAATTTTTTCCAAGCTAAGGGTCGTGGTTAGTTTCGGGGGGTTCTGCTGGGAGAAAACCCCGTTGGACGTCGTTTGCCTTTCCATAAATTAAGGCCCTCTGAATCAATAATCTATTCCAATAACCCCACATTATCCGATTCCAACCGGGGAAGATAAAAACGGAGCCCCCTTCAGCGGGGGAATTTACAAATATCGGTTTGTTTTACCTCTGTTCCTCATTCTCGCAAGCTGGCCATCCAAAAGCATTTCCTACACGCTCCTTTTTTAAAATCCCCCTCTCTCTTCGCCAGTTCCCATTCTGCATAATTCTTCCTCAAAATCTGGGGCGGGGCAGGGGGGGTCAGCGTGTGCAATTCACAGGGCCCAACAAAACCCCTCTGATTCGAGCTGGGGAACCAGAAAGGGAGGGATGTTAGATAAAACAAAAACACCAAAGAGGGTTATTTCGGAATGGCTGATGGCTTTCCAGCCTTTTGGGGACGGCTAAATCCAGCCCTTTCTTTGGGCAGCGTTGGTAAACCGACGGGCAGCGCAAGGCGCTAGTCCTCTGCACGTCTGCTTTTGGGGACAGGCGGCGGAGGAAAAAGCGGCGAGCCCACCCCCCCGGCAGATGGGGACCCGGGGCGCGGAGGGGAGGCCACCCACCTCACCAGGTGGAAGAAGCAGAGCAG